AATAAGACTCGGCACAAGTCCTCACATCAGGCTGGATGAGGGAACCCAGTAGGAGGAAAAGGATCCCAGGGGCAGGCAAGAGTCAGAGACAGCCCACTCCACTGTTAGGAGTCCCACCAGAACACCAAGTTACACAACATAACATATGCAAAGGACCTATCACAGACCCATACAGGTTCTGTGATTGTCGCTTCAGTCTCTGTGAGCCCTGCTTAGTTTATTCTGTGGGCTGTGTTCCCCTGGTGTCCTACAGTCCTTCCTCTCCCACTTCCACAGGGTTCCTGGAGCTCCACCTAATGTTTGGCTGAGGGCCTCTGCATGTACTCTCAACAGTATCTAGATGAAGCCTCTCTGATGACGGTTGGGCTAGGCACTGGGCTGTGAGCATCACAGAATATCGTTAGGGATCATTTCATTGACTTTGTTTTTGTTTTTGGCCAGTTGTGTTTAGTTCTACCCTGGGTCTCTGGGCTATCCAGCCTCTGGTTCCTGGCCATCCAGGCAGTGTTGGGCATCAGCCTGAACCAGAGTAAAGCTTTATCTCTGGGAAGGGATGGAGGGAGGGGAAAAGAGAGGGAGGGAGAGAACGGGCAAATGACCTGAAGCAATGTCTCTCTGAGGATGATATGCAAACGGCAAGTAAGTACATAACAAGATGTTCAGCATCATCAGCCATTAGGAAAATGCAATGAAAACCACATTGAAATAACAAAATAGCTAAAATGAAAAATACTGGAACTCATAAATTGCTAAGTAGGAATGTAGAACAGTGTGGCCACTCTGGACAACAGTCAAGCAGTTCCGTGTAAAACTGAGTAGGAACTTGCCATATGACCCAGTAATTGCACTGGGGAGCCCTTGTCCCAAACAATGAAAACTTACTGTCATGCCAAAACTCGGGCATGAATGTTCATTGCAGTGACCCAGGTTGGAGACAACTGAAAGGTCCTATATTAGGTGAAGAGAACTCCAGGACTGGGGTTGTAACTCAGTGTAGAGTACGTGCTGGGCATGTGCAAGCAAACTCTGGATTTGGTCTCCAGAAACACTTAAGTGAAGTTATATTCATCTCTTCTGTGGAATACTACTCAGAAATAATGTGGGAAAGCTGCTAAAACTTGGATGAATCTCAGCGACTAATGCTGAGAAAGACAAAACTAGAGAGAGAGACTTAATGACTTCCAAACTGCAGCCCGCTCTGGGGAGAGATGGGTGTGCTACGAAGAGCAGCGGCAGCCGGAGGTGCAGGTGCTGGAACTGTCCTAGCTCCTTGCAGTTTGCCCGGCAATTCTAATTCTTGTTCTTGGAGCGGGGGGCCTTAGTGAGAGCATCTCTGAAGAATGCCTGGGGTGGAATCCAGAGACAGAGGCCCATCAGCATTCTTCTTCGCCTCAATGACAACTGCCTCTGTGACCATCAAAGTCACCTTTGCCACTTGGCAGCTGCGTCACTGTGCGTCATTCCCTAACCTATGTAAACATTCCTGTGAGATCACCTCGAGTTCCATGCCCCGCCCCCCCTTCTGCTGTACAGTCCCCCATCGTCCGCCCCTTCCCCACGCCCCCCTCCCCCGCCTCTGAACTTTGCCCTTTGATCAAGGAACCTCTCTGGAAGGTGCTTCCATGGAAAGTAAACCAGTCCCGGAGGTTTTCCAAGCTAGGAAACTCATGTTCTTTCCAGTCACCTAGCTTGTGGTGTGTAGCGCCCACAAGGCTGAGGGAAAGAGAACACTGTTGTTTTAATCCTTTAACCCATTTTACCTTCGGTAAATGCTCTTCCTGTTTGCTTCCTTTCTTGCTATTTCCTGTTTTCCTCCGTTTTACATCTAAAAGTAAAGCAGGGTAGGAAAATTTGGAAAACTCTAAGCAAGAAACCCTTCCACCTTCATGAACCCATGCTTCCAAGCAGCTGTTTTGATGCACAAATATTTCTGACATAGGTGTGGTAACCCTGTTTGTACAGCACTTACTGTAAAAGACGCCCTGTGCATACATCCTATTCCTGTGAGCATCTATAATTAGAATATTTTTCCAAGGGCTAAGAATTAAAGTGCTCCGAAGAATTGATAACTTTTTCCATATTATTTATTTCACCATTCCAATCCTGGTAACTTTAAGTCTGATAATATTTTTCATTAAAAAATTTATTATCCTGAGTTATCTTGCAAGCAGAGTCATAACAAAGGCTTATGCACCAATGATTTATTAGAGACATGATTCTGGGGAGCTGGAGAGAAGGGCAGAGGGCACAGCCAGGGGAAAGACAGTACAGATAATGAGTGCCCTGCTCTCTGGGGCCACATGAGGAGCCATGGGAAATTCATCAGATGGAGTGCGGGAAGAAAGAGGAGCCTCAGAAGAAGGATGAGTCCACAGCTCCCTGCTGGCTTGTGGTGCCCGGTGAGCTGTTTATCTGAATGCTAGGCAGACACAGGTCTCCGGGAAGTCCCATGACAAGAATCGAGGCACAGCATGTGAGACCCCAAACCGAGTTTCTGTTGGGCAGTGGGAGCTTAGCAAACTAAGTGTGTGCCCAGGAGGGTTTAAAGTGAGGCTCAAGATGTGGCCACAAAGTGTCAACTGTAACTGCTGTAACTTCCTCCAGTAATAAGGAAGTGCTCCAGGCATAAGTAAACCGCATTGCCTTTTACTGGGTCAATGTTTACATCTGCAACTTACCCAGTGGTAACTCCAAGTTTTCCAATTAAAAACAAAGTTTAATGGTAGGAGTAACAGCCCAAGGATGTTACCTTAAACTGCAAGATATTAAAATATGAAAAACTATAAATGAGAGAAATTCGTGCTTTATCCATTTCTGCATCTGTGTCTTGATAAATCTGTATGGTATAAAGCCATTGCAAACAGGATTTTATTTCTAAAATAAAATAAATGGGATACAGTAGGCACATCCTAATATCTAGTTCAGATTATATACTTAAAGTAATCAGTTATGGAAGCATGACTAGTGCTCAAGGTATATGCTTTATACAGATATTAATTAAATGGTTAATGGGTTATATTCCTTAGATAATACACAGATTAAATAACCTATTAAAGATAACTTGAGCATTCATGTCTCAAGCACTGTTTCGAGATACACAAATTAATCTAAGCCTTCATATCTCTTAAGCAGATACTGTCTCTCATATTAAAGATGACAAAGCTGAGTTTGAATAACTTGCCTAGGCCACATTGCTGTAAGAGTTGGTGCTAAAGTGGTCTGAGGAGATCTCAGTCGGTAATGTGTATGTCTTACAAGCACAAGGACCTGAATTGGATCCCCAGACCCATGTAAAAATGCTAAGCATAGAAGGCTTTTATAATCTCAGCATGTGGGGAGTGCATACAAACGGGTCCCTGGATTCACTGGCTGGCCAACTTAACCTTGCTTAGCTTCAGGCCCAAGAGGGACCCTGTCTCAAAGGAGGTAGATAGTCTTCCTGAAGATAATACCCAAAGTTGTCCTTGGACCCTACAAACACACACACATGTGCACCTGCACACACAAACACACACACACACATGTGCACCTGCACACACATACACACACACACATATGTGCACTCGCACACACACACACACACATACATAAGCTAATGCAGAAACTAGTGCCATATAGACAATATCTTAGTTTTTACAAAATTTTATAGAAAGTTAGGATGCATTAATTCAGTGGTCAAATGTTCCAAATCACCTGGAATGCAACAGTTAGTGAGACTATGCTATAAAGAAGTTAGTCTCTCATTGCTGGTAGACTTACCAGTTCTATCATTATTGCACATAGGAATCCAAATGTGGGAGTAAAAACATGAGAATAAAGTAGTGGAGGAAATAAAGAGAAAGGTAGTCAGTCCTTTGACACACAAAGCAGGTGTCCAGAGCAGAAAGAAGTGTGCATCATTCCAGCAGCTTGCAGATTTGAGCTATAAAAATAGCTGTTAACTGATTAGCAGCTGGCCAAATTTGCTATATATTAGTTTGCATTTGTGGATGCAAAGAACTTTCCAAAGGCCAACCAACGTGCTTACATATGAAGAACCTTGCTCGTCCCCAGATGATTTCCCACCTGTGTCCATGCCCTTCTTGATACCTGCTGAGGGCATCTCCGGGTGGTTGGTAGAAATCAACTGTGTTGGTTAGTCACAGTTTCTGTGGTGGTACAGGAAAGTCCTGTGTTTCTTCTCTCTCTCATAACTCCTGACTGAGTACGAAGATCTGCATGTTCTGCGTGTTCTGCAATTGCACAACCTCAGACAAGCTCAGCTAACATGATAGGGCTTTGTCATGAGATGAACAGAAAGGGAAATTTTCCAAAGCTCCCCTTAAAAAAAAAAAAAGTGCAAGCTTTATGTATGTTTCACGATTGATGTGAAAGCTACAGTGACTGGTCGCCAGTTAGACTGGGTGTGGAAGCTGTACATCAAACTCAGCTGAGTTTCACCGTCACCGACTTGAATGAATGAAGTCATGTCTTCAGGCAACACCCTCTCTCCCTTGCTCGTCGGTCACTCTGTAATTATTCAGCCTCCTCCTCTGTATCGCACACTGACACACAGGGAGGACCCTGCTCCTTCTGACTCTCACATGCCATCCAGCTCATGCTTCACAAATATTTGCCAGCTGTCTAGCCCTTGGTAGACAGTGCATTTCTTAGCACAGAAAATAAATTGAAAATCAGAGGCCCCACCCCCCAAAAAAGCCTCTAGAATAGCTAAAAGTTGCAATTAGAACTTGAGGGAAATTTTTGAGAAAAGTTACCCTGAAAAAAGACATTCTATCTTCCCAAAAAATAGAGAGTAACTTGGATTATTATGTGAAGTAGAAATATCAGCACTGAACACCAATTGCAGCTGGATTCCCAGGCAAGGTAGTCAGCTGCTTTCGTAAACATTGCACATTTTTCTGTTAATGTCTTGGGATGTCTGTCTCAGTTACAAGCTGATGATCCATAAGTCCTTTTGAATTTCTACACCTCTGATTTCCTGTGTTTGTTTTTCAGTAATGGAGAAAATGTGTGCAGATGCGCTCCCTCTGACTATGAATTCCTCAGAAAAGCAAGAGATTGTCTGCATTTTTGGAACAGGGGATTTTGGAAAATCCCTGGGATTTAAAATGCTTCAGTGTGGTTATTCTGTTGTTTTTGGGAGTCGAAACCCCCAGGTGTCCAGCCTTCTGCCCAGAGGAGCAGAAGTCTTGAGCTATTCCGATGCCGCATCAAAGTCTGACGTCATAATCCTGGCCATGCACAGAGAGCATTATGAGTGCCTCACAGAACTGGTTGACTCTCTCAATGGAAAGATATTGGTAGATGTCAGCAACAACCGTAAAATCAATCAGTATCCAGAATCGAATGCTGAGTACCTTGCTCAGTTGGTGCCAGGAGCCCATGTGGTCAAAGCATTTAACACCATCTCAGCCTGGGCCCTCCAGTCAGGAACACTGGATGCAAGTCGGCAGGTAAGTATTAAATGAACTTGCATTCAGCCTTTTATTTTATTTTATGATTATTATTATTATTATTATTTTTGGTTTTTCGAAACAGGGTTTCTCTGTGTAGCTTTGCGCCTTTCCTGGAACTCACTCTGTAGCCCAGGCTGGCCTCGAACTCACAGAGATCTGCCTGGCTCTGCCTCCCGAGTGCTGGGATTAAAGGCGTGCGCCACCACTGCCCGGCACATTCAGCCTTTTAAGGGTGAATGTCTTAATATGTACTTACCTGAATACAATTCCAAAATAAAATCCCCAGTAAATATTTCATTTTCTAATATGTTCTAAGGACAACTTCATTGGGTTTGATTGAGAAGTATGGTCTATTGTGGCTCATGTGTGCCTTGACTTTTATCAATAGTTTGATGGAACCAAAGGATGTCCCAATCTGAAGTCCTCCTGCCCATACTGGGAACTAAGAGCTTGTTGACTCTTTTTCCACTTATGTGAAACTGGGTCCATTTATGCCTCTGAGATTAGCCATAGTCAGTCATAAATGATGTAGCACCCACACTCAGAAGAAAGAGATGACTCATGCTACAGCAAACTTTGTCTTATAGCAGCACTGTGTGCCTGAAATCACATTCAACTAAATAGCATGGTCTTTTCATGCCCCGGCACACACATGCAAATTCAAAACCTCATCTTGCTAGATGTGTTGATTCTATATCTCTGTTTTGAAAATAGTCCATTAGTATGTTATTTTTCTACATGATAGTTATATAAAGTTGAATGATAATTATTAAATAAAAAATAAATATGGAACTAATTATTTTCGCTCAGGTGTTTGTCTGTGGAAATGATAGCAAAGCCAAGCACAGAGTGATGGACATTGCTCGTACTCTTGGACTCACTCCGTTGGATCAAGGATCTCTCGTGGCAGCGAATGAAATTGAGAACTACCCTCTGCAGCTGTTTCCAATGTGGAGGCTCCCTTTCTACTTGGCCTCTGTGCTGTGTGTCTTCTTCTTTGTGTACTGTGCTATACGGGAAGTGATATACCCCTATGTGAATGGGAAGACGGATGCTACGTTCCGCCTGGTTATTTCCATCCCGAACCGTGTCTTTCCTATAACAGCACTGATCCTGCTTGCTTTGGTATACCTTCCTGGTGTCCTTGCTGCCATCCTGCAGCTCTACCGAGGTACAAAGTACCGCCGCTTCCCAAACTGGCTCGACCACTGGATGCTTTGCAGAAAGCAGCTGGGCTTGGTAGCTCTGGGATTTGCCTTCCTTCATGTCATCTACACACTTGTGATTCCTATCCGTTACTATGTACGATGGAGACTGAGAAACGGAACCATTACACAGGTCAGTTTCTTCTCCTCTGTGTTTCTCTACTCCTTAACTCAATCTTGCTTTACCACAACCCACTACACAACTGCAGAACATTGCTCTCCAGAGTTTGTTTTCTTTATTTTTTTTTGAAGGGGGGTGTTTGTTTGGTTGGTTGGATTGGTTGAGGCAGTTTATGATTTAGGGCTAGCTGGCCTCAAACTTACAATTTTCCTGCCTCCACCTCCCAAGGACTGGGATTAAAGCAGGAATTGTCACACCTACCCAACATCTTCATTTTTTTAAAGTATCAAGAATCAGAAACATTACCCCTGGGCTTGCAAATGAATCCAACTGTGATCAGATAAAACTACTGAGAATAGCCGGGCCGTGGTGGCACACGTCTTTAATCCCAGCACTCGGGAGGCAGAGCCAGGCGGATCTCTGTGAGTTCGAGGCCAACCAAAGCTACACAGAGAAACCCTGTCTCGAAAAACCAAAAAAAAAAAAAAAAAACTACTGAGAATAAAAGTTGGGTTCCAAACTCACTGGGCTCTAGAGCTATAATTCTGGGCTCACAGGGACACTGACCAACTTGTAGGTTTGGGACCCAAGAGTTTCTTTGGGTAAGAGCCAATAAGCACAAACTCTTAGGTTTCTACCTTCTGGTTTTATGTAAATTTCTTTTTGAAGTCTAAACCACTGCCTACTAAGTGTGGAGTCTGCCCAAACAATTTCACAAAAGGGTGCTTAGAAATCCATTCATGTTTGACTTGTGAGAAGTTGTCCTCAATAACCAAAAAACTAAACAACACTGAAAAAATATCAAATACTATCTTATGAATACTCAAAGACAAAATCAACTCAAGTAGTCTCTCAGCATTTACAGCAGAAATGCTACAAGTCTGCTCTGGTTTAGAAATTAATGGTCTTGATATAGCTTGCTACAGTCTCAAAGGCTATGCAAGTTTTTGAGTAAGGATCACACTACAGAGCCTGATTCCTCTCACACTGTGATGTGAAAGATTTAATGCTGTATTACAACATAATCATCATGAAAGACCCAAATTCTGTGTGTGTGTATGTGTGTGTGTGTGTGTGTGTGTGTGTGTGTGTGTGTGTGTGTGTGTGTGTGTGTGTGTGTGTAAAAGAGAGAAACAGAGAGAGAATATAAAACCAAGTTTTGATGTGATTGTTTGAGAACACTGCTTCGTTTGGGAAACATAAAGCCATGTGCTGAAGAAGGTTAAAACACATATTGGTTTTGTTTTAAGATATAGAGGGCAAATTAAACCTCACTAACTGACTCCTAGAAACAAGAACTATAACAAAATCACAGAAGAACCAATTACCTTTTCTTCTCAAAACATTCAAGTGTATTTTTCCAAAACTGTTCCTAACTGATCATTAAGAAATGATACACAATTTGCTTTGTGCAAGTAATGTGTGTAGAGGTGTGGTTCAGTCCCCCTGAAAGGGTGAGGTGTATGGAGCATCCATTTTAATTGTTTGCAACTTTTCATAGGCCCTGGCTAATAAAGACAGCCCATTTAGTACCTCTACCGCCTGGCTTAATGATTCCTACTTGGCGATGGGAATCCTGGGATTTTTTCTCTTTCTCCTCTTGGGAATCACTTCATTGCCATCAGTCAGCAACATGGTCAACTGGAGAGAGTTCAGGTTTGTCCAGGTAAGCGCTTCAAATTTAAGTGTCTTGATATTGCAAAATGAATATAGCTTTTTACAAATATTCTGGTTTTACTCTCTTATCAGGCCTGATTTTTTCATTTGGCTCCCTTACGTCCCCAGTCATCTCATTGGCTGTTCACTTCACAGAATGAGTTGAGACTCTGACAGGCAGACTCTGTAAGGGTTTCTTTTGCTTAGGACATCTTGTCAAGATTCTTGACTCCCCCCCAGAGCCACCACTGGGACTATAGAGCAAAGAGCACCCAAAAGCTAGTAACTATGTGTGGAGGTACCAGGTAGAAAGTGAAAAAGAACCCAGAGACAAAATTTTACCTTCTGAATTCAACCTTACAATCCGGACACGCTGCTAAGAAAAAGCAGGTTTTTCCATAAAGCTTAAAATTTCAAACAAACTTTAATAAATATCATCACCCTAGACTTACTCTTGGTCTATATGAGAGAAATTCTTTTTTTTCCACATATCAACAACCAAACACCTCATTAAATGTAGTAACTATTCCTGGAGACGAGTAATCCTCACAGTACCTATGATCACAACCAAAAGAGCCATGGAAGCATCACTAGGGAACTTTTTGGGCCCCAAGCCTCAAGCACTACCCAAGTTGAGCAACCAGAAGCTCTGGAGGTGGAACCCAGCAGTTTATTTGAACAGGCCCAGCAGATAATTCCCATGCATGCTCACTCACTATGTGCTAGTATAATAAAACAGGCCATTAGTAACTGGAATTATATTTGGTTATCAAATCCTGCCATTTCTCCTAGGGGCCAAATGTAGACAAATTCAAAGAATTCAGACAGAAAAGAAAAACTGAGCTTCAGAATTCCAGAGCCACAGTTTAGGAATTGTTCTTCGCTGTGATGGAAATCAGCTAGCATGTGGGTTTGACCAGTAACAGCGAAGAATGCAGAGCTTGTGGAAGTCATTTGTTTCTGTCCCTGATAAGACGATTAATAAAAGGATTTCCCTCTGTGAATCAAAGCATTGCATGCTTGTCTCCTAACTTAAAAGAGTTTATTCCTAGGATTTTTTTTTATTTTTTTTATTTTTTTTATTTTTTATTTTTTTTGGTTTTTCGAGACAGGGTTTCTCTGTGTAGCTTTGCGCCTCTCCTGGAACTCACTTGGTAGCCCAGGCTGGCCTCGAACTCACAGAGATCCACCTGGCTCTGCCTCCCGAGTGCTGGGATTAAAGGCGTGCGCCACCACCGCCCGGCAGGATTTTTTTTTAAATCAAGCCAGGTGAAGATAAAACTAGCATGTCATCAATAAGCAAATCTTCTTATATTTTTAATGAAATATTTACCATCCTGAAGAAAGATTACAGTTTTTCCTAGCAGAGTCCTAAATATTATAGTAGTATCACGTTTGTGGTTGTTGACAAGTAAACTCATTGACATGCAGTACTTCACTTTACGATATGGATAACATTAACACCCATGTTTTTGGTTTTTTTTGCTTATAGTCCAAACTGGGTTATCTGACCCTGGTCTTGTGCACAGCCCACACTTTGGTGTATGGTGGAAAGAGATTCCTCAGCCCTTCGATACTAAGGTGGAGCCTTCCTTCAGCCTATGTCTTAGCCCTCATCGTCCCTTGCACAGTGTTGGTGATGAAGTTCATCCTCATAATGCCGTGCATAGACAAGACCCTCACACGTATCCGGCAGGGCTGGGAAAGGAACTCACAGCACTCCAAATCAGCACTGAATGGAAAATCAGATATTTAAAACAAAGTTGAATTTGTGGAGATTCCCGAACTAAGGTAGCAAATGTTTAGAGACTATATGTAGTTAAGGAAGCATTCTCTCTTGTCATGGTCTCGGGTTTATCATCACAGGAGGAGACGTTGCCCGACTTTGACAGACTGAAATAGGAAGAGAGCAACACCCATTGCCTCATCTTAGGTAGTGACTCACTGCAGGTCTCGCTCACTTCCTTTCCCAGGAACCCCAGGGCTACCATCGTGATTAGGTTTGTAGTTTCACACTATGAAACTTCTGAATTATGGTCTTGCATGATGCAATGTTTTTCAAAGTGCTGGAAGAGTGTTTGCAACTTCCTTCTCTATTTCAAGGGATGAGACAAGTGGAAAAAAAAAAAGGAACGCTGGTGGCCATCCTGAAGGTGCTGCTTGGTGTGCCTAAAGAAGAGGCCCACATGAAGTAAAAGGAACGAGGCTTTGTTTGTTTTTTGTAAAGAGTGGTGTTCATAAGTGTTGTCATACTGATCTGGAGGTGTTTTTGGTTTGGGTGTAGTGCTGAGCATCAAACCTAGGGCCTTATGCATACTATGCAAATGCTATGTTACTGAGCTACACTCAAGCCCTGCCATAGTGAATATGTAGTCATATGTACCCCTTGATTTTGTTTTTATCAATATGGATACTTACTGTGGGGAAAGATTTTATAGCACAACAAAAATATCTCCACTGGTTTAAAGTAATCATTCCTTGTATATATAGAAATCTATGTCATTCTTCCTCTACAAGGAGTGGGTTGAGGAAGTCTGAGTAAGAGTGGAAAGATCTATTGGATTTTTTCAGTGTGCAGTAAGCAAGGGAAGGATTGATAATAGCCTTGTACAAAAATGTCAAATAAGCCAAAATTGTAGCTAATAAGCTAAGCAAATACTATAAAGATTCCCTATGCTCTTGAGTATTATTTCAGGATTATGGTATGCATTATATATTCTAAATACTGTTCAATATTAAGCACCTGTATATTCTAGTATAAAGATAAAGCTTCCAAAATCTGTCTTTGTTATAATTTTGAGAGGTGAAGTCTTAAAGAAATCATCTGAAACTGTTGGTGAGACAAAAGCATAGCTGAGAAAATTGTGGAATGCTGGGAAGAGCAGCAGCTGATGGGCGGCAGCCAGCTCTGGCTTCCTGTGTGGATAGTGCCTTTCCCAAGGTGACCTTTAGCAGGCTTAGCATTCCTAGCTCTAGCCTGGAGCTAAAAGGAGATTTTTGCACAATCTTCCCACGTGTCACTGAAATAACTAAAAGGCATTGGGTTTGACATTTTTCTGCCTAATCTACAAAGGCTGTTTATTTTTCGTTTTGTTGGCTTTTATTATCACATATCATACATGATATCATACATTGCTCACAATCCAGAGTTTTTTATATAAAGCTTATATTATATAAAAATGGACATTTCTTTGACTATTGCTCTAATAGAACATGTAGACTATATTCAGTTTTTACTAAAATGGCAATTGAGGTCATGTCTTTATACTAACAATATATTTCTATGTTTTCAATTATTTCCTCAGAATATTTTCTAAGTGTTTATAATATAAAATTAAAGACTATTTGATAGCATTTTCTGTATTGCTGGTTCCTGATGTGACTCTCTCAATCCCCTTGGCACACCATTACAGGCTTGAGATTTTACTTCAATTTGTGTTGTTTTTTATAAATAACTATAAAGATGTGAAGGACATGCTCCTGTAAATTATCTTTGATGAGCCCATACAAGGATACCAAGAACTGAAGAACTCTGGGCAGAGCCAGGGAATGGGAGACAGGCCCTGGAACATCAGGGAAGGTGGAAAGAAACAAGGTAATGCCGCTTGTTGCACAGAATAACCAGTTGTGCCAGGGCTAACTAAAGCCAAAGCACCATCAGTTTGGTCTAGGGAGGCATTTGGAGTCAACCACATTCCCATTTCAGTAAGGGCCATAAAACAATTAAATAAAACAGAAAATGCCACACCTGAGTCAGGTACATAGAGTGAAAATGTACTGTACTCTTTGTAATCTTCTGGAGATGGTCTATCTAGGTACTTAATACTAGTAGTCACTGAGCCTGAAATCAAAGAGAGCCCCAGTGGCTTGGGCACAATAGTTTTGGCCATAACTACAAAGGTTCCCTGGGCCACCAGGAAAAAGCCACTGTTCTTCCAGCTCTCTCTCCTTCCCAACACCATCCTCCCGGGCTCAAAACTGGACAAATCTGACCATGTGAACAGGTGGAGAGAATGAAGTTAGGTCAGATGGCAGTGGGTGTTTGGAGTGAACTGTATTTCTGGCAGCAGAATTCTTCTGCATAAAAATGTTACACTGAGAAGTTATAATGACTGTAGCTAGAGTCTCAGCACTTGGGAGGCAGAGGCAGGAGGATCAAGAGTTCAGATCAGTTGGGAAGAAAATGGATAGAACCCTTGGAGGGAGCAAAAGAGGAAGTCTTATCTTTTAAAGCATGTAGGACGAAGAAAAATGAAATTCTCCTTTATCAAGACAGAGCGAAAGATAAACATGAAAATACAACCACATAATCTCCCCTCGGAAAAGACAAAAGTCGTCCATGTCACAGCATTTCCTCACTGCTCATAAAAGAAGGAGGGGGTGGGAATTCAGGGTCAGCCTCGCCTGCATGTCACCTTGTCTTTAAAAAAAAAAGTCAAAATAAATAAATAAAAGAAGAAAATTACACCAAGCTTCTTTTCTGCTCGACTGTTTCCTGTATTCCAGGAAAAAATTCTTATCACTTATTTTGTGTGGTTATTTTATATGTCATTTGAAGAAATGACAATTGCATAAACATGTACTCATTAAACATTATAAAATATTTCTAGTTTTATTTAATTCTGGTTTTGACTTATCAGCATTCCAAAGAATATAACTGAAAGATTTTGAACCACAGTAGTTCCAGCTTCTGGGACTAAAACTACTTGCCTTCTAGGATAAGGTAAAGGAGAGGTGGGCATGGGTTTGAAGCTGATGCATGGATCTACAGCTTCATGCAGTACATGCAGTTCATTTCAACACCCCACAGGAGCATCACTGTAACCTGCAGGGGCACTGGCTGGCTAGCTCGAAGGAGAATTATTTTATCCTTCTATGGATTTCTGTGAGAATTAGAAAAAGATGTTGACATTCTCCAGGCAGATGCCACCGGAACAGGACTAATGGCTTGACAAGCGGACTTCACGTTGGATTCAGACAAGACCCAACATTAAATGCCTTGAGCAATGCACAACTGGAGCTTTCAAAACTGACAAGGACAGGGCTGGGAATCTCTGGTAACCTAGACACAAAGGCAGCAGCCCCAAGCTGAAACCCACTTCAATTAGCAATTTATCAAAAGCTCTTACTACATCTGCGGCTCAGGGAATCACAAAAGAGCCGTGATAATGATGAACACATATAACACAGTGAACCTCTCGAGTTTAAAAGATTCTGGACATCATCTGAAAATCCGAGAGGATGGAGGTCAAGGTGCTTCATTCAGAGGTCATGGTTTTCAATCTCTTGGCACAGCCATTGTCCCCTGGCCACCAAACACACATGCCCAGAATGCCCATAAATATCCTGATAGGGTCCTATTCTGATTTCCTATAACAAAGATTACAGTCCAGAAAAAGTCTCCACACCTCTAAAGACATGTTTGGTAGAATTTAGGAAAAGAGATGAGTTACTATCCTTTCATTACCTCGCCTGAAGCTCAAGCCGAGACCCTGATCTATCAGACAAGACCTGAGTAAGCCAGGGGGTGGCTCCTTGGGGAAGCACCTAGGGGGGTAGACAGAAAGAAAGTGTGGAGAAGCAGGAAGGCAGCCGAGACTGAAACATCTAGTACTGCTTCCTGCTCCAGGGGAACCTTGAAAGGTGTTGTGTGATGTTTACCGAATAATATTGTGAGCAAACCTTCACTGTTAAGGCATGCATTTTCTTATTTAGTCCATATAAAGATTCTCTGAAATACTCTAACTATCGCTGCTTTTCAGAAACTCTCTGAGCCTCGGCTGCATTCACACAGCTAGTGAGGGGCAGAGCTCTGTCACAGACCAGGATCCAGGGCGGCTCTCTCTCAACACCATGCTGACCTCCCAAATCTCCTCAAAACTCCACAAATGAGGCTGCGGATCCCTAGCAACTCTTCTGAAATGTTTGGGGTTGGGGTTTTATTTTCTTATTACAGTTTTATGCATTCATTTTGGGAAGAGCACACACATGACAGGTAAGGGTGGAGGTCAGAGGACAACTTGAGGGTAGATTTTTCTCCTTCCACCAGGCGGGTCTAGGGGGATTGAACTCAGGTCCTCGGGCATGGTGGCAAGCGCTTTACCTACTGAACCATCTCCCAAGCTCCTGGAATGTCTTTTCAGATGTGAAACTGACTGAGATTTTAAGCATCCCTAACTGTGCCATCTCCAAGCTTCCTTGTATGACTTTCAAGACATCCTACCAGGTTTCAGTAATGTAGGAACTGTACGTTTTTCCAGTAATGCAACCGCCATTTGGTCCCCACCCCAGCTCCATCTATGAGTTTCCAGAGCACCACGAGGGGCTTGGAGCAGCAGGAGATGGAGGAGCCCCTGAGGACCGTGCTCCTCCTCTCCAGGGGCCTGAAGGCAGATGCTCCCCCCCACCCCTCCACCCCACTCCACCCCACTCCACCCCCACCCCTGGCACCCCCATGCCCATTATTGCCCTGTGCTTTGTGCTGAATGATCCTATTTCTTCCTGAGACTTAGTGACCCATCAAGGAAACTTGGTAATGCTTCTCATTTAATATTTTAATACTTGTTAAGGAAGCTGAGTGTTAAGAGTGGGAGAGGGAGGAAAGTTTTAGTTTGACTCCCTAGAACCTACGAAGGCCAGCCTCTTGGTTTTGTTCAAAGGGCTGTTTAACTGTGTCAAGGGCTTCAGAACATCAGCAGCCAGAACCAAACTTTCCCCACGCTTTCGAGAGTGCGATGAAGCTTTGAAAGAACACAGCGGTGCCCTGGGTTTGGTTACACTCCTCTTTTCTCCCACGCTGGTGAGATCGACAGGGAAAAGAACCAGAGCCTGCCTGCACCTGGTCACCAAGGCAGAGCAGCAGGTCTGCGGGTCATAGGATCATCTGGAGTCAACAGCCTGCCCTGCAGATGTAAATCTCCGTGAGGCTGGCATACTGAAGCGCCACCAGAAGGAAACGGTGCCTTTCTGGGCCCCCTGGGCAATTTCCAGAAAATTCTCATTTGTAGCTAACCAAAGTTTTCCTATCTGTACTTCTATCTATTGTTCCTGGTGTTGCTGTTTAAGTTAAGAGGAAGGCAGTATTTCTTTGCCTTATTTTTTCTCCAGATCTCACAGATTGATATGTCTGTAAAACAAAAAACTCCCACACTTAAATACTATAGCAACATCAAATTTCCATAAAAAGTGCCAAACTGTTTCTGTCTTTATCACAGTAACAATGACTTCACAAAGCGGAGCGATCTGCAAGACAGCGGCCAACACGGCTCGCTTTCTCCAGGAAGCCTCTCCCAGACAAGGACTTGGTGCAAAGGGTTTATTCTGGAAGTGAAATAAATCATCAAGTGCTGGGAAGAGGGCACAAAAGAGACAGAGCGGAGAAGGAATAAGGCTTCAGGCCAGTCACTCTGGTCTGACGCTGGAACCCCTACCCGCCAGGAAACTCTCGGAGACGGTGTCAAATCGTAACCCTGAGCTGCCTCCACAGAGGGGAGATGGTTTTTCGTCTACCAAATCCTGAGTTATCCTTGAGTGAGACAAGCTTTCAGAGCATTAACTTTCCAAGACTTTTGAATTTCCCCCCATTCTCATGGTACAAGCCATGGTCGGGAGAAACAGGCGAAGGAGAGCCCTTACAGGTTCCACTCACATATTCAAACCGTAGAGGTGAACGGATTTCGCCAGGAAGCTGGTACGGCCTAGAAATTTTTACCCAGAATTTCATCTTCCAGTTAAAGAATGGTGCAGAGGTGTGAATGAGATCCAAGGAGGGGCCAGTGTTCTGGTTCTTTCATGATGCCTGAAGACAATATTGCCCTGTAAATTGCCAGTACCTACCATACAGACGGGCAAAACTCCAAACGTTTGAGTACACAATGCATGTTGAGGGTGGGGGACATTTATCCTGATGCACTGGTCTTGGCTACGCAAATGAGGGGCTCCCTGGTGGAGAAAAAACTGGGCAGCGTATTTAGAAATTAAAAATTCACAATAAGTTTTGGCCCCAGAGACCAACTCCTGAGAATTTATCACACAGATATTCTTGCAAGCTTGGAGATGAAAACAGGTACTGCTATTTTCATGAATTGAGAACGTTGTAAACGCAGAACATGAACAGCAATGCAAGGTTTTTTCTGTAAACTATGGTGGTTTTTACCA